GTTTGGCTTTGTTCAGGCTTATTACAATTCGCTTTGCTATTTGTGAGTGAATGAACACCAAAAGAACAATCGAAGGTTATTCGTCCTCTTTCTATTGAGATGGAACCAGAACAGCTATACTTGGTTTGGGCTGATAACAAACATGTCTGCGATTTTTGGGTGAATGTGCATTCTAACCCCAAAAACACCAATTTGAAATGAGCCCAATCAGAGCTTTATCATCTTCTTTTTATGTAGTTTGAAGCCAAACACATTTTTGCTTTGGTTGGGGGTGATTCTGGTGCACACCCAAAAAACACCACGCGAATTGAAATAAGCACAATCAAAGCTTATTTGTCTTATTTCTACGCATATGGAAGGGAAAAGACCATGTTGTGTTATTTTGGTCTCATTACAGACACTTTGAGATTTCTGGGTCAGTGTGCATTAATGTGAGTGAATGAACACCGAAAGAACAATCCAAGCTTATTCGTCCTCTTTCTATTGAGACGGAACCAAAACACCTATACTTGATTTGGTCTGATAAACATGTCACCCTGCGATTTTTGGGTGAATGTGCATTCTATCCCCAAAAACACCAATTTGAAATAAGCCCAATCAGAGCTTAATTATCTTCTTATGTAGATGGGACCGAAAAGTCGTTTTTGCTTTGGTTAGGGGTGATTCTGGTGCACACCCAAAAAACACCATGCGAATTAAGCACATTCAAAGCTTACTCGTCTTCTTTGTACGCATATGGATGCGAAAAGACAGTGTTGTGTTATTTTGGTCTCATTACACACACTTTCCGATTTCTGGGTCAATGTGCATTAACACCAAAAAACAAGACTTGAAATAAGCGAAATCAAAGATACTTCATTCTATGTAGCTGGAACCCAAAAGAACCTATTTAGCTTTGTTTAGGCTTATTACAATTCGCTTTGCTATTTGTGAGTGAATGAACACCGAAAAAACAATCCACGCTTATTCGTCCTCTTTCTATTGAGATGGATCCAAAACACCTATGCTTGGTTTGGGCTGATAACAAACATGTCACTCTGCGATTTTTGGGTGAATGTGCATTCTAACCCCAAAAACGCCAATTTGAAATGAGCCCAATCAGAGCTTTATCATCTTCTTTTTATGTAGATGGAACCTGTGATGAGATGATGAGCTGCTTGTGCGTAAAATCGTATCCCTTCAGAGTTTGTTCAAGTCCACAAACCTCTGTCTGTGACGGAGCCCCTCAGACATGGCCCCTCTAGTCACTAGCAGATTCCGACAGTGGTTGCTTTCGTAATCGCTTCCAACATAAAAGCTCCTTAACGGAAACACGTTGTCAGAGCTGGCTCCAGGTCCCAGCTCACAGAGGACCAACGCTAGCCGGCAGTAATGTACAAAAGTCTTTATTGAAGTACAGTTTCCATTTTCAAGCCGCAGCGCCCCAGCTCTACGTCTAGGGGTTAGATCGGCGAAGCTCCATCTGAGTCTCCGCCCCTGTACACCAGTTTAAGATTCTAGCCTTACTCCACCTCTTACGTCTCTCCTTTCTCCTCTGGGTCCTGCTACCCCCCGGGGTCCCTTCCTTCCTGGATTCTTCTGGCGCTGACCCCCTGACTCCTCCCCCTCTTTTCGGCGGGCTTTGGGACCTGGCTCCCTATCCGGGCTGCCAACTGCGCCGCCCTCCTGTACATTTGAACTTGGCGCGCGCGCCCAGCCTTCAACCTTCCTCTCGACCGTTTCCTCGCTCCCCGATGGAGGCGTGGCCAATCCTGACTCATGTCCTCCCACTGGCAGTGCGCCGCCTGATCCCGATGCCTGGGACCCCTCCCCCCTACTGCACTCTGGTGTGGACGCTGGTCCTGATTTCCAACTGCTGCTCTCTGAGTCCCCTCTGGCCCCTTCTTCCTGGGGTGTCCCCCTCGGCACCCCCCCCTTGCTCTGACCAAGGGAGCCCCTTTCTGTGAATCTTCCGATTCGCTGGAAAGACTCAGAGACCTCGGACCGCTGTCATCGCTAACATTTCCTTCGGACTCCTCCCCCTTGCTCTCTATTTCCTCCCTTTCCTGTGCCTCTGCTCCTGAACCCCTGACACACGTCTTCTGGACTCTCTGCGTGACAGTTTCCGGCGAGGAGTGGGTGTTCTTACAGGAGGTCCTGAAACCTCCCCACTGTTTTCGCTGGAAGTGTCTCTGAGCCATCCCTCCAGCTCAGCTCCTCTCCCCCTGCTGGTTCCCTCTTCAGCTGCTGCGTCTCTCCCAACCTGTGTGAGCCCTTTCACCTCCCTGCTGGTTCCCTCTTCAGCTGCTGCGTCTCTCCCAACCTGTGTGAGCCCTTTCACCTCCCTGCTGGTTCCCTCTTCAGCTGCTGCGTCTCTCCCAACCTGTGTGAGCCCTTTCACCTCCCTTCCGTCCGATGGCAGTTCCCTGACATCCACCTCCCCCGCCGGGGCCCCCCCGTCGCCCCCTCTCGCCCCCTCCTGTGCGGGCGGTGGGGCGGCCAAACCCCCGGACTGAACTTCCTTCATCTTCCGATGTCTCGAACACTTCTCTCAACCTGTTGCGGTTCCTGGTCTCGAAGTACACCTCCTCCTCAGAGTCCATCTCCCCTTCCCCTTCCGAGTCCGGGAATCCTTCCAACTCCTCCCCCTCATCAGTGGTCCCAAAGTATTCCCTCCGGAACCTCTCCACAGGCTGAGGTTTCCTTGGGAACCTTTGATGGAACGTTTCTATCAATACCTCGTCATTGATATCTTCGGCCATTACCCAAGTGTTTTCTGACTCCGGTTCTCCTTCCCACGCTACCAAATACTCCACCTGATCCCCCTTCCACCTGGCGTCGAGGATTTCTGCCACATGGCTGCTGCATTCTCTTTCTTCTATGACCGGTCCCGAGTGGCCAGCCCTTCTCGTCCCCCTTCGTACGGTGACAGTAACGACCTGTGAAATACTGGGTGCAGTTTCATGTGGTTGGGTAACCGGAGCCTGAAAGCCACTGGGTTGACCTGTTGAATGACCTCAAAGGGACCCAACCTCCTGGGTCTTAATTTCTTACAACCTCCTTTGAGCGGCAGCCCTTGGGTTGACAGCCACACCCTATCTCCCACCCTTATGGTTTCACCTTCCCTTCGGTTCTTGTCTGCCTGCCTCTTGTATTCTTCCTTCGCCCTTTCTAAGTTGAGTTGGAGCTGACGATGGATTGCTTCCATTTCTTCCACAAAATGCTCGGCTGCCGGGACGCTCCATCTCTCCCCATCTCCCCCTGGGAAAGCCCTGGGATGACACCCATAATTAGCCAAGAAGGGGCTCATCCCTGTGGACACATTCTCGGCATTGTTGTAGGCAAATTCCGCCAGCGCCAACTTTTCTACCCAGTCATTCTCTCTGTCATTGACATAACACCTCAGGTATTGCTGGAGGACACCGTTTGCTCTTTCCGCCTGCCCGTTGGTTTCAGGGTGCCGGGCAGTCGAAAAATTGACCTCCACCTGCAGTAAGCTCATGAGCTTCCTCCAGAACCTGGAAGTAAATTGTTTTCCTCGGTCTGAGACCACCCTCAATGGCACCCCGTGCAACCTAAAAATGTGTTCTACAAATAACTTCGCTGTCTCTTCCGCCGTGACTGCATGCGAGCAAGCTACAAAGTGGCACATCTTTGTTAGTAGGTCTACCACCACCATGATGGCTGTTTTCCCTTTGGACTTCGGCAGATCAGTCATAAAATCTATCGACACTGCCTCCCAAGGTCGTTCTGGGGTTGGTAAGGGTTCTAATAGCCCCGCCGGCGCCCGCCTTTCCCCTTTGGCTCTCTGGCATTGCTCGCACCCTCTTACATACTCACGTACATCTTCCCTCACCTTAGGCCACCAAAATTCCCTGGTGACCAACCACATGGTTTTGTGTTGTCCAAAATGCCCCGCCGTAGGGCTGTCGTGCAACTGCTTGAGTACCCTCCCCCTAACTCTCCTTCAGGGATATACAGTGCCCCTTTGTAATACAAAGCTCCATTTCTTTCCTCGAAACCCCCTGGTTCCTCTCCCTCACTCCTAAGACCTCTGAGCTTATTCTGGGCGTATTCATCATTCTCTGTTTCCTCTACCAGTTCTCTTTGTCCCACCAATGCCGCCTCACACACCCAGCGGTCCTCTGGAATGACATGTCTCTCTTCGGGTGCCCCCTCCCCCTCCAAATATTCTGGTTTGCGTGAGAGAGCGTCCGCCCTAATGTTCTCTGGGCCTGGCACGTAATTAATCTCAAAGTTAAATTTGGAGAACTCCTGGGCCCATCTCACTTGCCGTTGGTTGAGCACTCGTGCCGTCCTCCAATACTCTAAGTTCTTGTGGTCAGTGCACACTTGCACCTTATGTTGTGCGCCAATTAGCAGGTGCCTCCATCTCCGGAACGCCTCATGAATGGCTAGTAGTTCTCGGTCATACACCGTGTAGTTCCTCTCGGATTTGTTCAGCTTTCGCGAAAAAAGGCACACGGTCTCCACTCTGACCCCTTCTTCCCTGGCTGCAGAAGCACCGCCCCAATCGCTCTGTCTGATGCGTCAGTTTCCACTCTCATCGGTTTTGTAAATCCACATGCAGGAGTTGTTGTTCCGAGGCGAAGGCCCTTTTTAGTTCCTCAAATGCTCGCTCCGCCTCCTCAGTCCACACGAACTTCTTCTTACTGCTGAGACAGTCCGTAATGGGCGCCGTCAGGTGGGCAAAGTTTCGGATGAACTTACGATAGAAGTTCCCAAATCCTAGGAACCTCTGCACATCCTTCTTTGTTTTGGGTGTTTTCCATTCCAGCACCGCCTGGACCTTGCCGGGATCCATGGCCAATCCCTTGTCAGACAGGCGATACCCCAGGAATTCCACCTCCTTGGTATGAAACTGACACTTCTCCAGTTTCACCCACAGCTGGTTGGCTTGCAGCCTGCTCAACACTTCTCTGACGTCTCTCACATGCTGCTCCTCATTCTCAGAATACACCAACACGTCGTCTAAAAGGCCACACAATTCTTGTAAAGCAAAGGCCCCAGGACGTGGTTCATAAACGATTGAAATGTTGCGGAGCCTGCTTGTAGGCCGAAGGGCATAACCAAATATTCAAATGCCCCTAAAGGGGTGAACATAGTGGTTTTCCATTCATCCCCCTTCCTTATTCGTACCAGGTTGTACGCCCCCCTTAGGTCCAGCTTTGTGAAAATCTTTCCCTTCCGCACCCTTGTCAAAATGTCGTCAATCCTGGGCATAGGGAAGGCTACTGGTTCTGACACTGCATTTAAGGCCCTGAAGTCACACACCAGCCTCGGCTTGTTCGTGTTTTTCTTATCCACAAAAAACACTGGGCTGCCCCCCACCGCCCTGGACTCTCTGATGAACCCTCTCTTCAGGTTCTTGTCAATGAACTCTCTTAACTCCTGCATCTCTCTGTCTGACATGGCGTACAGCTTGCCTACAGGGAGCTGTGCTCCAGGGAGTAAATTGATTTGACAGTCAAAGGGTCTATGCGGGGGTAGTTGGTCAGCTTCCCTTTCGCTGAAGACGTCACGGAGATCTGCATATTGTCGTGGTACCTTCACGTTCTCTGTTACTTCAGTCCCTGCTAGGGTGGCTTGGACCCCTGCCAAACCCTTTCCCTCTTTGCAGTGTTCTAAGCAATGTGCTGAACCAAAAGAAACCACTCTCTGATGCCAGCCCACCAGCGGATCATGTAACGCTAGCCAGCTCATCCCCAATATAATGGGAGCTCCTCCCAAGGTGGCCACATTAAAAGCTATCAGTTCGGTGTGCCTTGCTACCTTCATTATCATTGGGACGGTCTGCAAGCTGACTTCTCCTCCCAACAACTCCCTGCCATCGATCGTGGTCACCTGCAGGGGGCTGCTTCAAGGGATCGTCTGTATCTGGTGTTCAGCTGCAAACTCTTTGCTCATGAAATTGCAGGAGCTGCCTGAGTCCAACAGCGCCTTTATCTTTAGAGGGTGTCCGTTTGGCAGCTCTAGCGTCACTTCTATCACTAGGGCGGGTTTAGGAGGTTCTGGCGTGGGCACTCTCACTGCTCTTTGGCCTGGCTGCTGTGCCCCGACAGTGGCAGCCAGGCGTTGGCTTTTACTTGCTCCGGTATATCTTCCTCTCTTCCATCCACAGCTCCTACCATCCCTTGCCATTCTTTCCTCTGGGGGCAGACTCTGGCAAAGTGACCTGGCTGTTGGCAGAGATAGCATTTCCGGGCGCCTTTTCCCTCCTTTTTCCCCCTCACTGGGCTTTGAAACTGCGCGCGCGCGCCTGTTCCGATTTCCATCGGCTCTGCCGGTGGGAAAGTTGGCTCTGGAATGTCTGGAATGCGGAACTCCTTCCAACGTTCCCCTTTCCCTTCCCGCCTCTCCAATGCTCTCGCCTCCTGGCGCGCTCCTATGGCCAGCGCTGATTTGGTCAGCTGGTCCATAGACTCCACCCTGGGCGCCCGGGAAAGTTCGTCTTTCACAGCCGAAGAAAGCCCTTCTTCAAAGAGCATTTGAATGGGTTCCGCCGATAAGTCCCACCCCAATCTGTGAACAAGCATGGTGAACTCAGTCCAGTACTCACGGACAGATCGGCTCCCCTGTTTGCAAGCCATTAACTGTCTGCGCACCACTCCCTTTTCAATATCGCTGGAAAACATCAGATCCATGGCGCGAAAGAACTTCATTGTGTCCTTTAGGACGTCACTATTCGCTGCCATCAGGGGTCTAACCCAGTCTCTCGCCCCCTTTTCAAGATGCTCAATCACGAAAGCCACTCGTGATTCCTCGTCAGGGATTCATCAAACTGCAGATTGAGGGCATATTGCATTTCTGTCCGAAAGCCATGATAGTTTTGGGCTCCCCCCCAAACTTCTGCACCAATCCTGGTACCTTTCTGGCGAGCTGGGTGGCTTTCCCCTTTTTGTCTGCATCCTGAGCCCTCCTCTCCTCAAGCCTCGCCGTCTGCATCGCTAGCTGGACCTCCAACACCCGGTACCTTTCTTCCAGGCTTGGACCCACTCCAGCTCCTGCTTCTCCGGTTCCGGCTGGGTTGCTCATGATGCCTTCTCCTGCACAAGCTGCTTTCAAAGACTGTCGGAATGCTGTGATGAGATGATGAGCTGCTTGTGCGTAAAATCGTATCCCCTCAGAGTTTGTTCAAGTCCACAAACCTCTGTCTGTGTGGAGCCCCTCAGACATGGCTCCTCTAGTCACTAGCAGATTCCGACAGTGGTTGCTTTCGTAATCGCTTCCAACATAAAAGCTCCTTAACGGAAACACGTCTTCTGGACTCTCTGCGTGACAGTTTCCGGCGAGGAGTGGGTGTTCTTACAGGAGGTCCTGAAACCTCCCCACTGTTTTCGCTGGAAGTGTCTCTGAGCCATCCCTCCAGCTCAGCTCCTCTCCCCCTGCTGGTTCCCTCTTCAGCTGCTGCGTCTCTCCCAACCTGTGTGAGCCCTTTCACCTCCCTGCTGGTTCCCTCTTCAGCTGCTGCGTCTCTCCCAACCTGTGTGAGCCCTTTCACCTCCCTGCTGGTTCCCTCTTCAGCTGCTGCGTCTCTCCCAACCTGTGTGAGCCCTTTCACCTCCCTTCCGTCCGATGGCAGTTCCCTGACAGAACCCAAAAGACCTTTTTGCTTTCGTTGTGGGAGATTCTGGTGCACAACCAAAAAACGCTATGCGAATTGACATAAGCACAATCAAAGCGTGTTTGTCTTCTTTCTACGCACATGGTAGCGAAAAGATAGTGTTGTGTTATTTTGGTCTCATTACACACACTTTGCGATTTCTGGGTCAATGTGCATTAACACCAAAGAACACGACTTGAAATAAGCGAAATCAAAGATACTTCATTCTATGTAGCTGGAACCCAAAAGAACCTATTGAGGTTTGTTTAGGCTTATTTCACTTCGCTTTGCTATTTGTGAGTGAATGAAGACCGAAAGAACAATCCAAGCTTATTCGTCCTTTTCTATTGAGATGGAACTAGAACAGCTATACTTGGTTTGGGCTGATAACAAACATGTCACTCTGCGATTTTTGGGTGAATGTGCATTCTAACCCCAAAAACACCAATTTAAAATGAGCCCAATCAGAGCTTTATCATCTTCTTTTTATGTAGTTTGAAGCCAAACACATTTTTGCTTTGGTTGGGGGTGATTCTGGTGCACACCCACGCGAATTGAAATAAGCACAATCAAAGCTTATTTGTCTTATTTCTACGCATATGGAAGGGAAAAGACAATGTTGTGTTATTTTGGTCTCATTACACACACTTTGAGATTTCTGGGTCAGTGTGCATTAATGTGAGTGAATGAACACCGAAAGAACAATCCAAGCTTATTCGTCCTCTTTCTATTGAGATGGAACCAAAACACCTATGCTTGGTTATGGTCTGATAACAAACAGGTCACTCCTCGATTTTTGGATGAATGTGCATTCTAACCCCAAAAACACCAATTTGAAATGAGCCCAATCAGAGCTTTATCATTATCTTTTTATGTAAATGGAACACAAAAGACCTTTTTGCTTTGGTTGGAGGTGATTCTGGTGCACACCCAACAAACCCCATGCGAATTGAAATAAGCACAATCAAAGCTTATTTGTCTTATTTCTACGCATATGGAAGCGAAAAGACAGTGTTGTGTTATTTTGGTCTCATTACACACAGTTTGAGATTTCTGGGTCAATGTGCATTAACACCAAAGAACACGGCTTAAAATAAGCGAAATCAAAGATTCTTCGTGCTATGTAGTTGGAACCCAAAACAACCTGTTTGGCTTTGTTTAGGCTTATTACAACTCGTTTTGCTATTTGTGAGTGAATGAAGACCGAAAGAACAATTCAAGGTTATTCGTCCTCTTTCTATTGAGATGGAACCAAAAAAACCTATGCTTGGTTTGGGCTGATAAGAAACATCTCACTCTGCGAATGTTGGGTGAATGTGCATTCTAACCCCCAAAACACCAATTTAAAATGAGCCCAATCAGAGCTTTATCATCTTCTTTTTATGTAGTTTGAAGCCAAACACATTTTTGCTTTGGTTGGGGGTGATTCTGGTGCACACCCACGCGAATTGAAATAAGCACAATCAAAGCTTATTTGTCTTATTTCTACGCATATGGAAGGGAAAAGACAATGTTGTGTTATTTTGGTCTCATTACACACACTTTGAGATTTCTGGGTCAGTGTGCATTAATGTGAGTGAATGAACACCGAAAGAACAATCCAAGCTTATTCGTCCTCTTTCTATTGAGATGGAACCAAAACACCTATGCTTGGTTATGGTCTGATAACAAACAGGTCACTCCTCGATTTTTGGATGAATGTGCATTCTAACCCCAAAAACACCAATTTGAAATGAGCCCAATCAGAGCTTTATCATTATCTTTTTATGTAAATGGAACACAAAAGACCTTTTTGCTTTGGTTGGAGGTGATTCTGGTGCACACCCAAAAAACCCCATGCGAATTGAAAAAAGCACAATCAAAGCTTATTTGTCTTATTTCTACGCATATGGAAGCGAAGACAGTGTTGTGTTATTTTGGTCTCATTACACACAGTTTGAGATTTCTGGGTCAATGTGCATTAACACCAAAGAACACGGCTTAAAATAAGCGAAATCAAAGATTCTTCGTGCTATGTAGTTGGAACCCAAAACAACCTGTTTGGCTTTGTTTAGGCTTATTACAACTCGTTTTGCTATTTGTGAGTGAATGAACACCGAAAAAACAATCCAAGGTTATTTGTCCTCTTTCTATTGAGATGGAACCAAAAAAACCTATGCTTGGTTTGGGCTGATAAGAAACATCTCACTCTGCGAATGTTGGGTGAATGTGCATTCTAACCCCCAAAACACCAATTTGAAATTGGCCCAATCAGAGCTTTATCATCTGCTTTTTTTTTCTTTTTTTTTTTCTTTTTAAAATACTTTATTTTCTTTAAATATTAATACGGGACATTACAAAAGAATAAAGAAATACAAAAAAACCGCTATAAAACCACTCGGGGTCTCCCTGAAACGGAGAAAAACCCCAGAGGCGCTCCTCCCAGCCCCGCTCTCACCTGCCAGCCCAGCCCACCTCCACCAGCAGCCTGAGTTTTTTTGTATTTGTTTTAAAAAACACACACACACGTCGGGGGGGGGGGCAAAGAAAGGCATCGTCTTAACCATTCAAACTGGTTGGTAAGTTCAACACTGCGTTAACAGTTTTAATCTCCTGGGAGAGAAAAATTGCACATTAAAAGGACCCAAAGTGTGAGGTTCTGTACAGCTATACAGGAAGCAGCAGCAGCCGCTGCGCTGCGTCCAGACTCTCTGCCCGACCACAGGGCAAGTCGAGGGTCAGCTCAGGAAAAAAGCCAGGCTGAAGCAGGCGGTCACTCTGCTCGCCGCCACCCCTACCCCCCCCCGGGGCACTGCTGTGGGCAGTCCAGGCAGGCGCCCCCGTTTCAAGTCAGAGAAAGCAGCTTCTGGACAGGCAAAATGGAAGTCAGGGATCCCAAGCTTTTGGCACCACATTTTGTCAGGGAGGGGTTTTAACGGAGGGGGGCAGGAGAAAGGGTGCTTTTGCAAAACAGCGTCAAAACCCTTTGGAAGTCAAGCCCACTTCACTTCCCTGCGGGTGGAGCAAAGTCTCAGCTGGAGAGGATAAGAAACGCTTCTCTGAAAATGTCCCTCTGAAAAGTTTTTTAAAATGCAGCCTCTAAAATAAAGCACCACACAAGCAGGTCTCCCGGCGACTCTCCTCCTCTTCCCCACGCTGGCCTGGCCCTTCCGGATCTCCCTGAAAAATGGCACCCCCATACCCCTAGACATGCACACATACACCTCCCCTCGGACCTCTCCTCGGACCCTGGCTCTGAACCTTGAGGCCTACGTAGCTTGCGCCCTTCTCAGGCCGGCTCTTCCCATCCCCGGCCCCCGCAAAAAAAAAGGGAGCGCTCAGATGAACCACACCGGACAGTACAAAGCAACCCTTGCAAAGTTTCTATTAAGCATAAAAAAACCCAAAAAACCAGGAGCCGCCAAGCCAAGCAGGCCTCGAGCTCCATGGCAAATGCGGCAAGTTGGCACAGCGGCTGGAAGACCCACCCAGGCAGGTGAGGTTGGCTCCACAGAGCCCAGACGTCTCGTGGGCTCCAAAGCGAAGGTGGCGCGGGAGCAGAGGGCAAGAGCAGGCCTTCTCCGTTCCCCGCGGAGGCACAAAGCGACGGAGGAATGGCACCGTGGGGGCCCAGTCCAGGTGCGGATGGGCCCTGCTTCTGCAAGGCAGGATCGGACGGCTCCTTGGCACGTTGCCCAGTGGCAGCCAGAGCACAGAGTCGCTTAGAGAAGTCCTCAGACCGTCCACAGGAAGCAGGAGAGAAGTCCGGGTCCTATTTACACCGGAGCAGGTTGGGGGTAGCCACGTCCCGGCTGCTTGTCAAACTGCCCAGTAGAAACCCTCCAGGAGCGGCGAGAGGGGTCTCGAGGCTTGTGCCAGGCTCAAGAGGGAGGGAGAGGGGGAGAGAGCGAGTGGGTGGGTGCCAGCCGGGCGTGGGGCAAAAGAGTGCGCACACAAGCCAGGTCAGAGCGTCTCTTGGAAAAGGAGGACATGGGTGGGCAGCCAGGGGCGCTTCCCCCTCCCCGTGCATCGCGAAGGTCGAGTGGACCGCAGCACCCGTGCGTGAAGTATTGCTGCTCGGAAGGCAAGGTGGCCGGCCTGGCAGGGAGGCCGGGGGCCGTCCAGCCCGGAGGGGGGGCCCTAAGAGCAGGGGAGGTGCTGCTTGAGGATCTGCCGGGTCTGGGGGGCTATTCTGTCCGGGAAGCGGACTTTGAACTCTACGATCAAGTCCCCGCGCTGGGTGGGCACCTTGGGGAAGGGCAGCCCCTCGCCACGCAGTCTCTTCACGGTGCCCGGCTTGATGATGTCGTTGCAGGGCAGCGGGATGACGCGCCCGTCCACGGTGGGAATGTTGACGGTGCAGCCGCACAAGGCCTCTTTCAGACTGATCATGGCCGTGTAGATGATGTTTGTCCCGTCCCTCCGGAAGAGCGAGTGCGGCTTGTCCTTCAGGATGAAGACGATGTCGGCGGGGATGTTGTCGGGAGTGGCGTCTCCTTCCTTGGGGAAGGTGATCTTGGTGCCCTCCTTCCAGCCGCGCTTGATGACGATGTTCAGGATCTTGTCCTCCGTCCGCATGGTCCGGCCGTCCGGGTTCAGCCGCCGGTGGGTGATCTTCATGCGCTTGGTGGCCCCGTGGTAGATCTCCAGGGACACCTTCAGCTCGTGGACCACGGGAGGATCCTGCACCTTCCGGCGCATGTGGATGGGCTCCGGGTGGCGGCGGTGGACGCCGTTGAGCCCGTTGAAGCCAAACCGGCCAAAGGCACTGAAGGGGTCACCGCTGTCATCGTCGTCGATGTCCATGTCGTCGTGGTCGAAGCCGTTGAAGACCCGGGAGCGGCCGCTGGTGAAGAAGATGTCGAAGGGGTTGGAGTCCCCAATGAAGGAGGCGAAGGTGGCGTGAGGGTCTCCGTGGAAGGTGTAGTGGAAGGTGTTCCCAGAAGTGCCCGATGAGCCGCCACCAGTTTTGAGCCCTTCTTCCCCGTACTGGTCATAGACGGCCCGCTTCTTGGGGTCACTCAGCACATCGTAGGCCTCCGCAATCTCCTTGAACTTCTCCTCCGCGTTGGGGTCCTTGTTCTTGTCTGGGTGGTACTTCAAGGCCATCTTCCGATAGGCCTTCTTGATCTCGTCTTCATTGGCTCCGGACTGGATCCCCAGCGCTTTGTAGTAGTCCTTCCCCATGTTGGTGGTGGAGACGGTCCCGGCCGCCGCCGCAGACTCTTTATTCCTCCGTCCCGTCCCGTCCCGCCCGCCTCCCTCCCTCGGCCGGGCCCTCTGGCGCGCGGGGGCCGGGCGCCCGCCCCTGCCTAGCAACGGCCCGCTCCGGCGCCCATCATCTGCTTTTTATGTAGATGGAACCCAAAAGACCTTTTTGCTTTCGTTGGGGGTGATTCTGGTGCACACCCAAAAAACACCACGCGAATTGAAATAAGCACAATCAAAGCTCATTCGTCTTATTTCTACGCATATGGAAGCGAAATGACAATGTTGTGTTATTTTCGTCTTATTACACACACTTTGAGATTTCTCCCTCAATGTGCATTAACACCCAAGAACACAACGAAATAAGGGAAATCAAAGATTCTTCGTTCTATGTAGCTGGAATCCAAAAGAACGTGTTTGGCTTTGTTTAGGCTTATTACACTTCGCTTTCCTATTTGTGAGTGAATGAAGACCGAAAGAACAATGCAAGCTTCTTCGTCCTCTTTCTATTGAGATGGAACCAAAACACCTATGCTTGATTTGGGCTGATAACAAACATGTCACCCTGTGATTTTGGGGTGAAAGTGCATTCTAACCACCAAAACACCAATTTGAAATGAGTCCAATCAGAGCTTTATCATCTTTTTATGTAGGTGGAACCCAAAAGACCTTTTTGCTTTCGTTGGGGGTGATTCTGGTGCACAACCAAAAAACGCTATGCGAATTGACATAAGCACAATCAAAGCGTGTTTGTCTTCTTTCTACGCACATGGTAGCGAAAAGATAGTGTTGTGTTATTTTGGTCTCATTACACACACTTTGCGATTTCTGGGTCAATGTACATTAACACCAAAGAACACGACTTGAAATAAGCGAAATCAAAGATTCTTCGTTCTATGTAGCTGGAACCCAAAACAACCTGTTTGGCTTTGTTTAGGCTCATTACACTTCGCTTTGCTATTTGTGAGTGAATGAACACCGAAAGAGCAATCCAAGCTTATTCGTCCTCATTCTATTCAGATGGAACCAAAACACCTATGCTTGGTTTGGGCTGATAACAAACATGTCACTGCGATTTTTGGGTGAATGTGCATTCTAACCCCCAAAACATCAATTTGAAATTAGCCCAATCAGAGCTTTATCATCTTTTTATGTAGATGGAACCCAAAAGACCTTTTTGCTTTGGTTGGGGGTGATTCTGGTGCACATCCAAAAAACACCATGCAAATTGAAATAAGCACAATCAAAGCTTATTCGTCTTCTTTCTACGCATATGGAAGCGAAAAGACAATGTTGTGTTATTTTGGTCTCATTACACACACTTTGCGATTTCTGGGTCAATGTGCATTAACACCAAAGAACACGACTTGAAATAAGCGAAATCAAAGATTCTTCGTTCTATGTAGCTGGAACCCAAAAGAACCTGTTTGGCTTTGTTTAGGCTTATTACACTTCGCTTTGCTATTTGGGAGTGAATGAAGACCGAAAGAACAATCCAAGCTTATTCGTCCTCTTTCTATTCAGATGGAACCAAAACACCTATGCTTGATTTGGGCTGATAACAAACATGTCACTCTGCGATTTTTGGGTGAATGTGCATTCTAACCCCAAAAACACCAATTTGAAATGAGCCCAATCAGAGCTTTATCATCTTCTTTTTATGTAGATGGAACCCAAAAGACCTTTTTGCTTTCGTTGTGGGAGATTCTGGTGCACAACCAAAAAACGCTATGCGAATTGACATAAGCACAATCAAAGCGTTTTTTGTCTTCTTTCTACGCACATGGTAGCGAAAAGATAGTGTTGTGTTATTTTGGTCTCATTACACACACTTTGCGATTTCTGGGTCAATGTGCATTAACACCAAAGAACATGACTTGAAATAAGCGAAATCAAAGATTCTTCGTTCTATGTAGCTGGAATCCAAAAGAAACTGTTTGGCTTTGTTTAGGATTATTACACTTCGCTTTCCTATTTGTGAGTGAATGAAGACCGAAAGAACAATCCAAGCTTATTCGTCCTCTTTCTATTGAGATGTAACCAAAACAACGATACTTGGTTCGGGTTGATAACAAACATGTCACCCTGCGATTTTTGGGTGAATGTGCATTCTAACCCCAAAAACACCAATTTGAAATAAGCCCAATCAGAGCTTTATCATCTTCTTTTTATGTAGATGGAACCCAAAAGACCTTTTTGCTTTGGTTGGAGGTGATTCTGGTGCACACCCAAAAAACACCATTCGAATAGAAATAAGCACAATCAAAGCTTATTCGTCTACTTTCTACGCGTATGGAAGCGAAATGACAATGTTGTGTTATTTTGGTCTCATTGCACACACTTTGCGATTTCTGGCTCAATGTGCATTAACACCAAAGAACACGACTTGAAATAAGCGAAATCAAAGATTCTTTGTTCTATGTAGCTGGAATCCAAAAGAAACTGTTTGGCTTTGTTTAGGATTATTACACTTCGCTTTCCTATTTGTGAGTGAATGAAGACCGAAAGAACAATCCAAGCTTATTCGTCCTCTTTCTATTGAGATGGAACCAAAACACCTATGCTTGATTTGGGCTGATAACAAACATGTCACCCTGCGATTTTTGGGTGAATGTGCATTCTAACCCCAAAAACACCAATTTGATATGAGCCCAATCAGAGCTTTATCATCTTCTTTTTAGGTAGGTGGAACTCAAAAGGCCTTTTTGCTTTGGTTGGGGCTGTCTGGTGCACACCCAAAAAACACCATGAGAATTGAAATAAGCACAATCAAAGCTTATTTGTCTTCTTTCTACGCATACGGAAGCGAAAAGACAGTGTTGTGTTATTTTGGTCTCATTACACACACTTTGCGATTTCTGGGTCAATGTGCATTAACACCAAAGAACACGACTTGAAATAAGCGAAATCAAAGATTCTTCGTTCTATGTAGCTGGAACCCAAAACAACCTGTTTGGCTTTGTTCAGGCTTATTACAATTTGCTTTGCTATTTGTGAGTGAATGAACACCGAAAGAACAATCCAAGGTTATTCGTCCTCTTTCTACTGAGATGGAACCAAAGCACCTATGCCGGGTTTGGGCTGATAACAAACATGTCTGATTTTTGGGTGAATGTGCACTCTAACCCCAAAAACACCAATTTGAAATGAGCCCAATCAGAGCTTTATCATCTTCTTTTAATGTAGATGGAACCCCAAAGACCTTTTTACTTTGGTTGTGGGTGAGTCTGGTGCACACCCAAAAAACACCATGCGAATTGAAATAAGCACAATCAAAGCTTATTTGTCTTCTTTCTACGCATATGGAAGCGAAAAGACAGTGTTGTGTTATTTTGGTCTCATTACACACACTTTGCGATTTCTGGGTCAATGTGCATTAACACCAAAGAACACGACTTGAAATAAGCGAAATCAAGGAGTCTTCGTTCTATGTAGCTGGAACCCAAAAGAACCTGTTTGGCTTTGTTTAGGCCTATTCCGCTTCGCTTTGCTATTTGTGGGGGACTGAACACCGAAAGAACAATGCAAGCTTATTCGTCCTCTTTCTATTGAGATGGAACCAAAACACCTATGCTTGATTTGGGCTGATAACAAACATGTCACCCTGCGATTTTTGGGTGAATGTGCATTCTAACCCCAAAAACACCAATTTGAAATTGGCCCAATCAGAGCTTTATCATCTTCTTTTTATGCAGATGGAACCCAAAAGACCTTTTTGCTTTCGTGTGGGGTGATTCTGGTGCACAACCAAAAAACGCTATGCGAATTGACATAAGCACAATCAAAGCTTGTTTGTCTTCTTTCTACGCACATGGTAGCGAAAAGATAGTGTTGTGTTATTTTGGTCTCATTACACACACTTTGCGATTTCTGGGTCAATGTGCATTAACACCAAAGAACACGACTTGAAATAAGCGAAATCAAAGATTCTTCGTTCTATGTAGCTGGAATCCAAAAGAAACTGTTTGGCTTTGTTTAGGATTATTACACTTCGCTTTCCTATTTGTGAGTGAATGAAGACCGAAAGAACAATCCAAGCTTATTCGTCCTCTTTCTATTGAGATGTAACCAAAACAACGATACTTGGTTCGGGTTGATAACAAACATGTCACCCTGCGATTTTTGGGTGAATGTGCATTCTAACCCCCAAAACACCAATTTGATATGAGCCCAATCAGAGCTTTATCATCTTCTTTTTAGGTAGGTGGAACCCAAAAGACCTTTCTGCTTTCGTTGGAGGTGATTCTGGTGCACACCCAAAAAACCCCACGCGAATTGAAATAAGCACAATCAAAGCTCATTCGTCTTATTTCTACGCATATGGAAGCGAAATGAGAATGTTGTGTTATTTTGGTCTCATTACACACACTTTGCGATTTCTGGCTCAATGTGCATTAACACCAAAGAACACGACTTGAAATAAGCGAAATCAAAGATTCTTGGTTCTCTGTAGCTGGAACTCAAAAGAACCTGTTTGGCTTTGTTTAGGCTTATTACACTTCGCTTTGCTATTTGGGAGTGAATGAAGACCGAAAGAACAATCCAAGCTTATTCGTCCTCTTTCTATTCAGATGGAACCAAAACACCTATGCTTGATTTGGGCTGATAACAAACATGTCACCCTGCGATTTTTGGGTGAATGTGCATTCTAACCCCAAAAACACCAATTTGAAATAAGCCCAATCAGAGCTTTATCATCTTCTTTTTATGTAGGTGGAACCCAAAAGGCCTTTTTGCTTTGGTTGTGGTTGTCTGGTGCACTCCCCAAATACACCATGCGAATTGAAATAAGCACAATCAAAGCTTATTTGTCTTCTTTCTATGCATATGGAAGCGAAAAGACAGTGTTGTGTTATTTGGGTCTCATTACACACACTTTGCGATTTCTGGGTCAATGTGCATTAACACCAAAGAACACGACTTGAAATAAGCGAAATCCAAGATTCTTCATTCTATGTAGCTGGAACCCAAAAGAACCT